ACAAATATTTGTAGTGTTTTGATGTTTTGTTAACTGCTGCTATTTCCCAGCAGTACGTGATGCGAAAGTCTCACAAGGTTGGCGAGTTATGGACAAAGATCTATTTAAAAACTTAAGTTTTGACCCGTCACTTATACGATGCATCTGAAAGGGACCATGGCAAGTAGACGCTGAATATGGTGGAGGGCTCATGAATTTGCAGTAGATTACGGGTTACCTAACCTCCCTCGTTCGAGCCTACATCCATAGCCGTGATTGCTGTAAAACCAAGCTACCATTTGGATTTTCGTATTTTTCCTGGATTCCAGGTCCTGGGGGTCTTCCAGACCGAACTAGAACAATCACACCTCCTGCCTTCATGCTTGGCTAATTAATTTCACATTGAATACAAAAAGAATTAAACATACTCACCGGTAATCATTGTGACTGAGGGGGGAATGAGCAGCTGGTGAAGCAGAAAAGCTGGTGAAGTCTGTTGCTATCCCGTCCCATTGTGTAAATTCTCGTGCTGACGTCTTTCTACCTGAACTTCTGCCAACGGTTGGCACCCGAGCGCGTAAACTATCAGAATCGCTCTGGCTTCGACGGTGTCTGGTGGCCGTCCATTTCTGCCACCGTCTGATTCATTCAATGGTCTTTTGCTCTTCTTACTACCAAAACTCAGGCTATCCCGTTCTATCTCCTCCCTACTACTAAGCGATCTGCTAGATGGAATGAGTGGTAGTTAATCAGTTTGGAAGGCGCCTGCTTTTTTGTCCATGATCAATTAATTGATAATTTTATTCGTTTCTATTTTCAGAAGTCGAGTTTTTCTGCAGCCTCTGGGGAGTCAACATGTGGTACGACTTCTGGGGAAAGTGTAGCGAGGGGAAGATTAGGGGGACTGGGGACCAGCGCCTCTTTGAACTATTGAAGGATTAGGGCACAGGGAAGGAGAGGTCGTCAACATAACTTGTGCTCAGAAATGATTTTTCGTCTCGAATTAGTCGAGGATATTGTTTCGAACTAATATTTACACGGGGAAGAGCTCTGGGGTGGGTGAGAGGTGAGGGTGATGATGTCCTGCAAACATAGGGCAAGAATTTAACATCCAATTGTCTGCCCACCCCGAAGCAGCTTTGCTTCTCGGACTTAGGTTAAGAAAGGTGTGTATAACATAAAAAGCCATGGAGCGTTCTTAAGCACTCGTGGTCCCGGGATTCCACTTATTTCTAAACTCATTTTCTCTTGGTGTTCTTAGCTAAAAAGTTCATTTTCTTAGCTGTAACATATCTAATGCACCGATTCCTGTGCTCTTATCAATTTTGGGTTCCAATCAGGCTTTGTTAAAAGTCAAATCCCTATTTTCTTTTACCATCAGAGATGGTCTGCCGTGCTCCATTTGCTCAGACCGCGCTCCACCGCTAAAATGCATCGCGCGACGATATCGCTGCGACCTTGCATCGCTCCGCTTCCATTGATTCTCGTAAAGGCCTATCTAAGAAACAGTTATACTCCTTTTTCATTAATATACGTGGAATGCTTTGGTGTTATCGACTCTGCTCAATTATCTAAAGATAGCCAACGTTTTACATGGTCGTTAATGTCCGTTGACGCTATTTCCTTGCTTTATATCCAGACCTTAAATATACTGCATTTGCATTGATGCAGAGCCCAATCAGTGCAAGATTTTTTGTTAAGCGTATGAATGCTGTTTGTATACAACTACTCAAGTAGATTGGACGAAATATATAGTCGAAATTCCATTTTAGGGAGCAGCTGAAAGCCTGGCCCTTTTATAGCACTTTTACAGCATAAGCACCTTTCATTGCCGACTTGATACCACATTTTTTCTGCCGAATCCCTAAAAATTACCATATTTGTATTACAAAGTGCCTCGATTATTAGTGTGTGTTCTTTTTCGTGTAGTAAGATGTTGCTAGAAGTTTCAAGTAGTTACGGTTGCTAATAGCGCTCATTTATCTTTGTTTTTTCCCCTCATTCTTTTTTGTTTTCACTTTAACTTTATGTCCGCAAAATTATTTGCAAGCGATATCAGTTCCACATATGAATCCATTCATAAGCAGGTTTTGCTTCACGCGACCCAGCAAAAAACACTCGTGGGATGGGGAAAACTAACAAAATGTATTTTCGACGGAGTGTTATAGTCAGTACAGTGCTGGCTTCAAGGTGGTCGCACCATCACTTAGTCAGGGCAAGCAGGATGTGTTTACATAAAAGCTATCGTGAAGGATATAGTTTAATGACGGAGCTTTTGGGTGTACGTGGAAATTGCGCGCATTAAACACAGGATTGATAGTTACACTGTGATTTACCATTTGCTCACGGATGTCAAGTCTTTAATTGTCCGGCAGTGATAAGCACTGGGACCAACCAACATGTTTGGGGTCTGAGTTAACCAAAAAAATTGTCTCGTAACTACCCAGGAAGGTCATCGATCGTGCATGAAGTCTGTTTTCACACCTGAAACCAGTTTATGGTCCAAGCCCAATGCCTGTGGGTTCTTTACTTGCAGACGCTCATAGGATGCGCATCTGAAGATCACACGCACTCGGATATCAAAAGCCCAGCCTCACTAATCAAGGGGAATACTCTTGTGGAGTACCCGGGTATGTGTACGAACGTGCTTCCGAGGACGCGCGCGGCAAATTGCGCGGCGAAGTTCCTAATGGTTTGAACGAGTTCGGCGCCTGTCATTGGGGCTCAAATTTCAAATAGAGTGGATTGGGAGGATCATCCGCCCTACTAAACTACACTACTTCGATTTTCTGCCCCGAAAATTGGCGCCGCAGTCGTACAAATCGTCACGAACTTTGCCGCGCAATTCGCCGCGCGCACCCTCGGACGCACGTTCGTACCGTCCCCCGGAGTACCCTCATCTATTGCTTTGGGCACCTTTTTTGATTTTTCAGTCTGAACTTTTTTATTGGAGTTCAGGGTTTCTGAAGTGTCCAGGGGTTATCGTGTATAGCACCCTCTTTTACCTCGCTGAGCACATTTTTCGACTTTTCAGTATAAACTACGTTATTGGTGCTCAAGGTTCCGAAAGTGTCCAGTGATCTTTACACCCGCTGCGTCTGGATGCTCCGTGATCTCTAGCGACTTCTCCAGCTGTAAATGAAATAAATGCCCCCGTGGAAACAGCCTTGTTTGGTTCCTCTCTATTACATTTTCTTATTATCTTTTTGATCGCGAAGGGAGTGACGAGATTATACAATCGTCCTGATGCAAAGGAGCGTGGTCTTTGGCTGAGCCGTGCTTATGATTTCAAGCACATGTTTTATTGCTTTAAACATCATGCGCTGCTGAGCCAACTATCTTTCGGACCACAGGTTCCTATCAAATAAGTTACCTAATGCTTACGGACTAATTCACCATGCCATTGCGTCTCGTAAGGTTTCTGGCGGCCTTGTTTCCATCAATTCATTACGAGTTCATGTATTACTCAATCGCGCATAAGGTTGAAACTTGATCCTCGATGATTGTCATAATTTCGTCTTTTCGTTTTTGTTCTGTCTGTTTCTGATTACTCCGAATGTCAGTGATTGAAACGATTTTCAGTATCGCCTTTAAGCAATGGCCGGTCGAAAACGAAAGGTTAGTATTTTCAAAATATTCGTCCATTGTTTTTTACTGTGAAGGCGTTAGCTTTCTTCCAGCGATTGGTATTGCCCCGTAAAAGCGATACCAAGGGCTGGAAAGAAGCAATTTTGAGTTTGTGTGAGCCTTTACCCTTTCATCGTATAATGAACTTTGTTCAGGCGGATGATGAACATGAAGAACTCCAAAAGGCATTACGGACGTTTGAAGATGAATTCGGAAATATTGGTAGCACCATAGATCGTGGTCCGAAAGCTTTCATTCGCTCAGAAGTAGTCAACGCTAACAAAACTGGTGAGAGACTGTTGTACGAGTGATTTTTAGACGTTATTGGGTCATTTCACGTTATCCTTACAGTAAGCAGTGCAAAACAACTCTACAAACCGGAGCCTATCGTACCAATCCAGCGCTCACTACCCGTGAGTGGAAGTTCTTTCGAGGAGTCGAAGCGATTGGCAGCCGAGAAGGTAATTCGTTTACTATCAATTTACAATTTTCAATTAGGTAAATTCCGGATGTAATTTGTAATTTAAAGGCACGTCGCATGCTCGAAGAAGCACATAAAGGTAAAGGTCCGCCACCTCAAGTCATACCATCCAGTGCAAGCCGACCGATTTCGCGACCTCCACGACCTGGCGCGGCTCGAGCTGTTCAAAAGAGCAAGACCAGCAATTTGGAAGCATTCAAGGAAGAGCTAAAAAAGTTTGTCATTTGTCTTGACCTTTATTAGTGCTTTTTCATGATATCTTGCAGGCTTACAGAAGGGCTATTTTGTCTGTAAGTTTCAACTGTTCTTGTTTGTAGGAAAGAAAACTGTAAAATTATGTTCCTATCGGTTCTTCTTTCCATCTGTTGTCATCTAAACCATCAAATGTGAAATTTAACAGAAGTGATCATGTTTTGCAAGTTTAGGGTCCAACAAGAAAGAGATCAACGGAAGGGGTTGAGGGATCATNTGAGGGCGGAGCTCGGCGTAGATACTGAAGCACTAGACAAGTAAGCTTCAACTTCATCCTCAGGCTCGTCAACCAGTTCTCAATTAAGGATAAACAGGATTGCTCCTCCGCTCGATAAACCCTACATGGGAAGTGGAGAATACGACGATGACCCGTACACAACAAATTTGTACATCAGCAATCTTCCTTTAGACGTATGTTGTGAAGTACCATTAGCTTTTATTAGCGCCGTTGTGCATAACAAATGGTTCATTTTTAAGATGACCATGGAGGATTTGTTCGATTCCTTTGGGTCTTTTGGGCCCTTGGCATCGGCAAAAATTCTTTTCCCTCGTACAGAGGAAGAAAAGAGACGTGATCATCTTTGCGGTTTTTGCGCATTTATGTAAGTTCAACCTTTTTTTATTGAGATGCATGCTTTCCTATGTATTATTCATTTCTTGTTATATTTCAGGTCAAGAGAGGATGTGGACCGCGCACTTGCTCAAATGATGGGATTCTTTATTCGAGGAGAGCCCATCAGAATGTCTTTTGCTAAACCTATTGTAATACCTTCTCAGGTAACTACACCTCCTCAGGTAGTCTCCTCTTTCCTTTTATACCCATCATTCCCATTCCTGGAACGAGTGTTCGTTCTTATAGCCATTTTACGTACCTCCTCCCCTGCTAGAGTTGAGTGCTCCGGATCCATGCACTGAACTGCCATTTAATGCGAAACCTCTGCTGCGAGATGTGAGTAACAACACTTTGTTTTCATTGCTTTTGAAGCCGTTAGATATCTACGCAAATCTGAATATTCTTGCTTTTCTTCTACATACGGCCCTTTATAGATCACGGCTTATAAGGAAAAGTACGGCCCTTTGCCTCGATATGGAGAGCCAATCAACTTCGAGGGCGAACAATTGGAAGCCTACAATCAGGTAACTTGCTCTACCGCGCAATTAAGTATTACTAACCCTGCCTGTCCATTGCAAAACGCGTACTCTTTCTGTTCCCACCTCCTCCTTTTGACCAACTGTTTTATGAATATGTTTATAGAGCTAATTTTTGAAAGAATTTTGAATTTAATCTGCTACAGATGATCAAGAACGCGACAGTTCGTGTAGTGATTCCGTCAGACAGGTAAGCACCATCATCCGTGCGGCATATGGTAGGCGATCAGCAGATGTCATAATGGAATGTCGCTATCTATGAGCTGAAGTCTTTTGATCTCATTTTCTCCAGATAATTTCATATAACTCTGAATTCTTCATGTTTTGATTGCATCGGAACGTCTTACATTTGAGGTTTCTTTGATATTATTTTTGGCCTTCTAATTCATTTCAGTTTTTTTTTTCGGCAAGTTCTCGATAATGTTGTTATCAGGACCAAGCAAATCCTTTTAAAGGCCCAGTTTACGATAATTTGAGGTACCCGTTTTTATTCGGAAAAGGGAAGTATAGATTGGGAATAGTTCATCGGCAGTGAAGAAAGCGGAAGAATCTGTCGATTTCGAGAAAAATATGGCTCTTCAAAAGTAGGAAAATAGAGGTTGGACGAGATTATCATGACGGAAAAAAACATGGAAGGGGATTCGGACGAGATTTCAGTTGTTGCAANTGCGCAAAGAGCTGACTTCATTAAGCCAGAATTGTACAGAACTGCCTTTCACTGGCACTATGGGTCATGACAAGTTGTTTGAACTTCCTACATGGGTTCCCTTAAGAAAAGTGCAGCCTCTACAATGCAGGTAAAACTCGTCCCAGGATACATTCGGCGCAATCTTCGAGCCTCAATAAGTCCCTAACTAGGTCGTTTTCCGACCCAATAGCGCCAGATATGGTATACGAGGAGGCCGCGAATTTATCTTGGGGGAAATCTCAGAAACCATTTTTATCGTGGACTGTGCCTTTAAAGTAGCTTTGGGGGAGGAAGGGCTTTTGCAATGGGTGTGCGTGTTTTGAAAGCGAAATGGCAGAGTCTTGAGTTTTAAGTACATTTTTCGTCATGCTTACTACAGGGCTGGGAAAGTGGTCGTGATTAATATATGGTTTTATTATGAGGGGCGCAAGTTTGTGTTCAAAACCAAAAATCTTGTCAACGATTGATATGAATTGATTCGTTCTTCTTTGTAGCGACCAGAAAAAATGAACACGGTGACTCCAAATGGAGTAATTTAGAAATGATTCCTTATGTTCAGTCAATATCCTGACCTTCTCAATAGTCGAGCCCTGCATCCATTTTTGAAATGCACGTTGTTTAGCCTTTCAAGAATTGCTATATAACTTGCATTTCAAAATGAACTCAAACAGCACAAGTATAAGCATTCAATCGTCCCTTATCTAAAGTAGTAATAGGGTTCTACTGTTGGGATAGGCGTTATTAGTCCATTATCAAGTGTTGATCTAATAGCTTGATGGGCCAAACTATGTGAAAACGTTTGTTGTGGTCCTTTAGCCACCTTCTGCTTGTCATCCAACATGTGGTGGAATTTACAATCCGCGAAGGACCGCTGTTTGAAGCAATGTTAATGACACGAGAACGGAATAATCCATTGTTCAGGTGAGGCCGTGCTTTTTTCATTTTTTGGAATTCAAGGTAAGGTAATTTTGTAATTTTTATGTTATTCTATAATTACACTCAAACATCAGATTGCACCATTTGTCTATTTACCGATTATTTACGAGTTTTTCATTCATCTCGAAGAAGCCCCATAACTGTCATATTCTCTCTAGTATGTTGTTATCTACAACCCTTTTTGAAATGACTATCAGTTGTTTAATGGTATGCAAGACGGGATGGTTTCTTCGCCATTTGAGACGATGCCCAGTTTGTGATATCGCAAAAATATTTTCCTACCTCTTTGTTGTTCAAATTTTTTGTGCATTTTCAAAGCATCTCCTCGTCTAGTTTCTTGACTATATAAGGAAATGTTGTATACGTGTGTCGGAGAATGGCATATTCTTGATTACAATTGAGAATCTCAGCAAATGTTCTGGTTTGGAGTTAAGGCGCTCTGCTCCACAACCGGTTTGACTTTAGTGTTTTATTCAAGAATTAGTAACCTTAATTTGTCCTTCCATTCTATTTTGATTTCGGGAAGGTACATATTTATTTATTTATTTATTTATTTACGGACATGCTATGTATAAGCATGTAAAATAAAAGGTGAAAATATAGACCATTTCTTGACTAAACATAACTACATCAAATCAACTTATTAATAGATTTCTTGAAAGTACAGTAACTGAGGGGGATGAGATTTCGACGCAAAAGAGAATTAAAAGTTGACATAACTCTATTACTAAAAAACTGCGACTTAATTTGGGTTCTTGCTGGCATGGTTGAAACCTTAGTTGAGGAACCTCTCGTGTTGGAAAACACAATTGTGAAAAACTTAGAAACATCCACGATAGTTATGCCATTCGAAATTTTGTATGCCATAAGTATATCGAATTTTTTCCTTCTCCATTCGAGCGATTTCAGTCCTAGTATCTTATTACGCTCAGTCCCAGTGGGTATTTCTTTATAATTCAAACGATGACTCCGAATCATGAGTTTACGAGTGAAACTATTTTGTACTCCTTCCAAAGTGTAAATGTCTTTCTTCTTATAGGGCGCGAAAACAGTAGATCCAGTAGATATTTTGTCACAAATTTCTAGGACCGAAATGTAATTATTGCGAAGTGCTGAAAGGCATCAATGACGTTTTTACTGTTATACTTTGCTTAGTCTTTAGATTCCTTTTCGAGCTGAACCATCCCACGCATGTGTATTATCGCTGGAGGCTGTACTCAATTTCCCAGGGAGACACATTTTTGGAATGGCGTCGAGAAAAGTTCAGGTATGCTTATATGCCATTTTTACATGATTGTGATGTTACATTGCCTATTTTCAGAATGTTTGAAGGTGGATCCTGGTGGCTGCCACCGATTCCACAAACGGAGTTGTTTAGTTGCATGCCCCGCTCTCTCTACAGCTATGCATGTACGATCACTGACCCGAATCGTTGGCTCCCCAAGCTGGATGCTCCTAAAGCCGTTAGTTTCTCGATGATATTTTCTCTAAATATTGAGTGTAATTTTTTCACAAACTTCTTTTCCATCTCTTGTTGAGCTATTTGCTTTTGTAGTGATCACTACATGTGAAGCTTTTTCCTTCCAATTATATTTTAAAAAAGAATTGCGCAATGCTAGTTGAATCTGCCAGAATTCGAGTTCCGTTGAGCTATGTTCTCAAGTATCAAAATGATTTTAGGCGAAGAGTAATCGATCTCAGGACACAAGGGATAGGCGAGAGAGATCAAGACGCAGTCCTAGGCAGGACTATTCTAAGAAGCCGAAGGCTCGGCTTCGGAAAAGCCAAAGGAAGAAACTTGAGCAAATATTACGAGAACTCACCCCGGAATGTGATAGTGTATGATTGTCATATTACTTATTCCTTTTTTGGTTCAATTCAGTCTTTTTTATTAACTCTAATTAATTACTCGATATCACGCCTCATTACAGATTGGTGAGGCAATGGTGTGGTGTGCGGATCACGCCACATGCGCTCGAGAAATATGTGAATGTATTTACGAGTCCCTAACCATTGATGAAACTCCATTGCACAAAAAGATAGCTAGGTTAGTAATAGTAGGGTGTGTATATAAAATCGATTCTGGCTGCTCTTCGACTATTTCGTTTCAGGCTTTACTTGATCTCAGACTTATTGGCAAACGCAGCTTCTCGGGGAGTGAGGGATGTCTTCTATTTCCGGCAATATTTCGGCGAACTTTTAACCAAAGTACGTTGCTTTAATCTACGGTCGCTTAAATTGCATGGACGCGATATTTTTGGTTACCATATTATCTGCTCCACCTCTAGATTTTTGCTGCCTTGGGACGCACCTTGCGTAGTGTGACTGCCCGACTTAAAGCGGAGCAATTCAAGCAACGCGTCATGTCCTGCTTCCGGTATGTTTTATTTATACTAAAACGTTAATTATATTGACTCACCATCAGTATTGTCAATATTCAGTGTCACCTTAATTACTGCCCATCTACTGTTTATTCTTCGAAACCTTGAGTTACAAAATCTCTGTGGGTATTCAGTCCACAGGACGGCAAGTGCAATGGTTTATTCCAGAGTGCGAGACTATGACTTGCTGAGTCAATCATGCGGGGGCACTGTCCTATGTTAGTAAACATTTCTAGTCCACAATAGAGCTCAGAACTCTCATGTTTATAGCTTTTCGCTGTCTAATGAGACATAGCGTTATCAACTTTCGTTGTATAATATTATTGTAGTCCTACCAACGTGTTATGGGCTTATACATTCTACGCCTTGCTTTTCTCACTTATCAATTTTCTGTTTGTTTCATGTTTTTGTTTTTTCTCTGTTTTCTCTCTTGTTTCTCTCTCTATCTTTTATCAATTTGTTAAGAATTTATGGTTGCTCGATTTTCAGAGCTTGGGAGGAATCAGTGCTCTACCCAACAGATGTCCTAGTAAATAGCCAGAATATCTTCCTCGGCCTGATGGTAAGTAATTGAGACATTTTTTTNNNTTTTTTTGGTTGATGTTGATTCCGGTTATTAAGGATGGACGGGAAACTGATGAGGAAGAGGAAGATTTGGACGGCGCTCCATGTGACATTGATGGAATACCCATTGAGGAGACTGAAAGAAATGTAAAACGTTTTTTTACACCTGTGTCTTCCTGTGATGTCTTTGCTTTTGTAGATGCCAATTTTTGATGATGATAACGAAGCGAGCAATGCTGGATCCAGCGGTGAACCTGCACGTAAACCGGCGACGGGGATGTTCAGAGCTGACAACTGGAGCACGGTAACTATCCATATTGGTCGATCGATCCTTGAATAATATGCTAATAGGTGTAGATCCTCTTATGTAATGTTTAGGTTGGAACGGTTGAAGGTGTTAAAAGCAAATGGGAGGATGACGATTCCGAACCAGCTGCGAAAGAACATAGTTCCAGTCCATCACCTAGAAGTTGGAGTAATGACGCTCCAGAGGGCCATTCTGGAAATCCACCCAGTGCCCGAGCAAAGGAGAGCGATGAGAGTGATACAGATGGAGAAATCGAGGAAAAGGAGTTAGTGTTGAATTACTGGTGACAGTTCTGTCTTGGTTTTTTGCTGATGTAGTTACTAATGCTATTCCATGGCGGATATCTTGTGCATGCTAGTTGAGTTGATTGTTAAGGGATATTCTTGCCAGTGCTGCTGTTGAGGAGGAGCGCCGCAAATTGATGAGAGAAGTGGAGGTAAGAATTGAGAATATTTCTAAGTTCTTTATCGTTAGCATGTGCCGATAACAGTTTAATAAACTATTCGATCGCTGTTAAGGTGAAAGTCATGGCACTTCAAGATGAACTGGAGAGTAAGCGTGATCCCGATATAGCAAATAAGGTGATTGTCGATACCTACCTAACTTCTTTCTATTTCTATCTCAAGCAATTGAAGGTGAAAGCTCTCCGGGAGAAGGAAATGAACCACTTGGAAGACAACTTGGCTTCGATAGTGAAAAAACGGTCGAAGAAGGAAAAAAAGAAAATGAAAAAAGAACCGAAAAGAGAAAGCAAAGATGAGCATGCGGCTTCCAAGTCGAGTCGTGATGCGGATCGCAGTGATGATCGACGTCGTGATACCGAATCACGAAAATCGGAACGAAATCGTGATCGAGATCGCGATCGAGACCGTGAGAGACGAAGGAGCCGAAGTCGCGACCGGAAAAGGGATTCGAGTCGGTGAGTGTGTAGTTATAGTGGTTGATGTAACATCAACGGGTGCCTTATTCACACCCTTCCATTTCATTCGTCCGTTGCAGTCAGTCTGGCACCTTAACTAGTCGTGTCGAAAGATATCTCTTCATCCCTCTTCAATACATTTGTGTTTTAGGGAACGTTCTCGGAGGGATCGTCGCTGAGCGAGTCTTCCATGTTTTTAATTGGCTTCTTATGAGACGTATCACACATCAAATGTAATATATAACTGGCACATTCGCAGCAAAATGTTTTCTCAGCTAATTTATTGACAGTATTCGTTGATGTTTTGTTTGTTTTTGTAAGTGTACTGAGTAATTAGATGATAGTTATGTTGTTTCAAAATAAGTTAAAAACAATTGTTCTATGATGATTTTGTTTTTGCTGAAATTTAAAGAAGTTGAAGGAGTTGTCAGGGTTCTTTTTGGTAGCTCGATGCAGAAGAGGTTTACTATAGGAAAAATTCAAACATGGACGTTCGGACTTGTTACAAGTTCGAGCATAATTAGTTGTCAGTCAAGTTTGTTTTTAAAAAGGTACAACTGTCCACGAGTGTTGCGCCGTTCCACAGAAAAAGTCTGGGTGTGGCCTGACCCTTTCGTCAGTCTCCTTGCAACTACCTTTTGCCTGGGTATCAGGGCGGAGGTGTAGTGGCCAGCAGAGCACAGCCAAATCCATTGTCTGCGGATAAGGTTCCGATTTTTTCCTTTACCGGGGCTCAACTAGCCATCCATCCGGTGTCAATTAATTAGTATCGTACCCAATTGGGAGGGTAAACTCTGACTTGTACATTGGCTGAACTCAGCAACGTACAGACCACCTACCCATTCAAAATATCCCTACGACTTAAAATGGAGGTCGAGTGGGAGGGCACGTACAAAAAACGGTATTGGTTAGGGGCCGAGGCTTTAGACTTTATTAACTGATCAATTACCATACTTTTAATGCACTTACAGCTTGAAATCCTTCAACCATTACTTGATTTGCGTTCATGGGTAAGTGTATGGACGAAAGGAAGAAATTGGTTTATTCGAGCGATGCCACGATACCGGCGGAAATTCTCGACGGAGACCTCCGTTTTATAACCTTCCATGCCCGAACCATTGACTTCTATTCAATGTAGCGCTCAGTAATTGAGCCAAGACCTCCAATTAGGATATGGTACGATCCGTACGTTTTGGATCATTGAGTTTCTATTACATATGAACAACTTCCAAGCTGTTGTGTCGCAATTCTTTGAGGTAAACCGTCTTCATTCGTTTTTACTTTCCATACGAGCTCAAATATTCAGTCTACGTCGGACCTTTTGCTCTCCAGTTTGCATTTATTACGGTAGTTTAGTAAATTTGTAGTACTTCTGCAACTGTTCTCTCGTTCCTTCGTTTTATTGCACTTTTGTTCCATGCCACTTTGACAAGCCTTTTCACCACCCTATAAGCGTGCGCTTCGCTTTGGCCGAGAGTTGAACCTGTGTTCAAAGTGATAAGGTGGAAACAAACAAAAGGGTCCTTTACTAGTATCGATGAAGGTGCTTTTATCTCCCAGACGAGGCTGGTGCCAACTAAGCGACCAAGGAGGGAGGAAGGCTCGGTTGTTCTAGGCGGATATTGATCCAGGATTCGAACCTGTGACCATGCATGTGTGAATTGCGCAGTTGCCACAACAGGACCTCCGTTCAATTGAAGCTATGGAGGAGAATACTGCAAAGGTGACAAGTTAACGCTTAAGCGCAGGGTTGGCTCCAGAAAGACAAAAATGCTAAAAATTGCTTTTCCCTGTAGCCGTGTACCACGTTTAGCTGTTAGAATTCTCAACATGCGTGCTCCATTGAGAAAAGCGCAGCTCCTACAAGGTCTTCGAAACACGGCCATCTCTGGGTGTGCCACTTAGCAAGTACAGCGTTCAGCCTTGATTACGCCGAATCTAAGCCGTTTTTCAATCTAACAGTGCCATGCATGGCATACTTGAGGGCCATGGTCTCATTTCTATCGCGATGTGTGTCTTGAAATTTCTGTCGAGATATCTACAAATTTTTTTTTTCATTCCCTCTCTTTCAGTTTGGGTTTTCTTTTAGAAAATGTAATCCCCAGAGAAAAGATCTCCGAAAATGAATGAATGGCTCAGCCCCAAGACTTGAAAAAAGTTTTGAACTCATTTTCACATTGGAAGGGATCAAAAATGCATTATTATTAGTAAATGATTGTCTTCCAGTGGCAGACATCCGTCGTAGTTCGATGGCCATTGCCTTTCCTTGTCGTACCTCCACTTCTAACCATCGCCTTGGGTGATTCTTTGAAAATTACCTCCCATCAATCACTTCCACCTCAAACTGGAGTCTCTGATTTCAGTGGTGGCCACAGCGATGGACTTCAGACTGAACACCACGAACGAAACGTTGCAAGTTTTTCTTCCAGACACAATGCAGAGCATATCCGACCTCAAGGAGGCAGGTCATATGACTACAGAATTTCGACTGCTCTAATAAATTCTTAACAGTTTTCAGTTGATCGAATTATTTCCTCCGCGTGATGCGCAGCGAGACAGCTACAGTATCTTTGGTTCAAAATTCGCATCGGTCGTTCTCGAGGACGTGGAAGGGAATGTCGTCAGCCCTCAGGGGCTCGAGAGTGTCGCTACACTTCATAGATCCATTATATCATTGAAGGTACGTTACTAGTTCTATGGTAAGGTGGTAAGACCGTGGCTTCATCTGCAATAGGAAGGGGAGGTAACGCAGCTGGATCTCCCTACTTTTCCCTTCCCAAAGATTATTACATTGTCTTTGTACTGCAGGGCCCTGTCCAAGGTTTTTACTACTTATGCATATATACAGGAAAATATTTGGTTCAAAGCGCATTTGTTGAAAAACTTATATTTGCAGTGGTTCTAACGGCCCCACTGAACCCTTAGCCATAAAAATATGAGGCGATTGCTTTAGATGCTTCGACAACCTCACCGAACCTTTACCCATTAGGATACGAGAGAATAGCTTCAGAGGGTTTGTTGAACGGGCCATTCACTTGGTGTCCATTCGATATCATAGACTTCTTAAAACTGTATTAGAACTATGCATTTATCTAATGTCACTGAACTGTTCCCATATGGGGGGTCTACTCGACCTTGGGATATCTCAAAGGCAGATTCAAGCAAAAGTTAAAAGTCGCAACTTGCAGTGACTGCCAAGCAAGATGCAGTTATTGTACGTCTCGAATCTTTCAGACAACAAAAGGGAGGCGCTCCTTTTCTGATGTCTGCCTTCGCTCCTCTGATGGTTGTACCCTGCACCCACTCGCTTATGCTTTCGAAGACGACGAGCCGGTAGAGTTTGAACTCCGGAAGAAAAAGTGTCTTCCGAGAGGTTCGAGTGTCGTAAGATCAGTTTCTTCTCCTCACAGGTACTCTCAGCTCAGTTTCTTCTACGCTATCCAATGCTGATCATAGGTGATCTTGCCGTTGATAATGCTCTGGTCTTCGGTGGCGTCGAAGTGAACGAATCGGTAGGTGCCCACATCATGAACCCTTCAATTCTGAGTGAGCTCTTTTTGCTGCAGAAAAAGGACAATCACGGCAATGGACCGATCGAATCAGCGAAAGCACTGCGGATATTCTACTTGCTAGAGCCATCGCCTGAAGCAGAAAGGTTCGCTGTTCAACTGCTTTGCTGCTTATAGACAACGAGCCGTTTATTCTCCTTCAGTTGGATTGACGCATTCTTGGAACACATGGCTCATTACCACTCTAACTCATCATCACGCCCCTTTTGGACGTCATCAAAGAGTTTGGCAAGTGAAATGGAGCGAAATAGTACTGTACGTCTGCGACAATCATTTATAGCAAGCAGAAGAATTCCCTTTTCGTCCTTCACTATGTACTGTAGCAGTAATCGAGGTTTCCAGTTGCTACTTCCTTTTATGCCCTGGACGGCAATCATCTTGTTGGTGTTCTGTATGGTTGCCTGTTCGTCAAGGAATGTCGTCAGGTACGTCTAGTATCAGTGAAGGTCAAAAAATCATTCCTTATGTGTTGTTATATATTGTTTATGAATGCAAAAAGCCATACTCATTCCTAAAACGAGTACGGCTTGAGCAGCCGCTACTATGGGGCAGAGCTCGGGCTACAGCAAAGGACGACTACGTCTAACCTGGAAAAAACGGCCTTCAAAATCCCGACTTGAAAGGGTAGAACGGCAACAGCAAGGAATCAAAATATGTTAAGATTACGATCAGGATGTAACTGGATATGTCTTCATTAAAGGCACGGTTCACGATAAAAAGGTTACTGAGTTCTTTCTTTAGGAATACTCAGCGCCCCCCATGGGTGGAAGAAGGGGC